CATGTCAATTTGATGAAGATAGTGTATATGCCAATTCTCATGAAGTAAATGTAGATGTTATGGAGGTTGTGGTATCATGTGGTACATTTTCATTTCCCAAAGGTTGTGGACACATGTGGTACYTAAAACATTCATGGATACCACAGTGATTAATGTGTCTGCCAGCAGTTTGGAAATGATAATGTATCTATGCAAACACATGTGGTACCTATAATTATGTTAACATGTGGTACATATTACTGTGTTGTTTGCATAGGTACATTTTCATTTACCAAAGGTTGTGGTTTCGTGTGGTACCTAAATCATTCATGGATACCACAATGATTAATGTTTCTGTGCAAACAGTTTGGAAATGCAAACATATGTGATATCTATGTCTGTGGTAAGATGTGGTACATCTTACTGTTTTGAATTTACATATAAAAAAACAACGAGTTTTTGATGATGCAAATGTACATCAGATACTACGGTGTCAGATACATACGGTAGCATGTACTCCTCAAGTCCAATGRTTATCCTTGCTTTAAGAGAACAAAAACATGATTTTAAATTGATTCATTATTTAAACAAGCAGGAAATACTTTGAGCCATTATGGAAAGCTAATCTAATTTTGCTCTTTTTTATTATCTCATTAAATATCATTAATCTAATTTGACCATTTTGCCCTTTTTTATTATCTCATTAAATGTCATTAATCTAATTTTRKAATCACATTAATTAAGATTCTTTTCAATTTTAACCATTGATATTTAAGATGTGTGGTTGAGATTGGTTCTCACAGTTACCACAAACAACTCAGTTCTCATTTGATTAAGCCCCTATATATATATATATATATATATATATATATAGAGTGAGAGAGAGAGAGAGAGAGAGATACAAGAATGATACATATTTAAGAAAATAACCAAATTACGTAGAAAATCACATGTGATTTTACATTACCGATCAAATAAAATGTGTGGGCAGTGGGCTACGGTCGCATGATAAGGTCGTGTGAATCACATGTGATTTTATACATGATGTTAATGTAAAATCACATGTGATTCGGCTACTTTCCTAAAGTATCATTCTTGTATGAATTTTTAACATACATACATATACATATATACATATATACATACATATATATATATAGGGTTGGGTTCATGTGAGACCAAGAGTTTTTCGTGAGACCCGTAAGACCAATTTATGTTCATTGATCAACTTTATAAGTTAAAGATCTAATGGTCTAAATTGCACGGTGGCAATTTTGTAATTATTGAGAAGTCTCATGGCGTTTGTGAATGTTCAAATCTGACGATTGTAGATCTAATCCAAGAGTTAAGAATTGATCTTGCGGGTCTCACGAAAAAGGTTTGATCTCATATGATCCCAAGTCTATATGTATATATATATATTCGATTCAAATTGATTGTAAAAGAATGCATTTATTCATAGGCCGACCAACCAAAATAAATGCATGTCCCTACATTGACTTTCACGTGTTGATGTCTCAAAAATTTAGAAAAATAACACATACTTCAAAATCATATGGTATACATGCATGTGGCATGCCATTCCCATAACTTCATGTCCTCCATTTTCATGTTATATGCAAATACACTTAGAATATCTTCCCATTAATTAATGCTCCTACTACGTCACACATTACATTTAATACATCTTACACACTTAAGGGCAGTTTACCAAACATTAAGTACTTACTGGTAAAATTTAACACTATTATTTACTTACTGAGTAAGATTTTAATCCATCAAAACGACATCGTATGCAACAATTTACCCGGTAAGCGCTTACCATGGTAAGAGTCGTCGCCCACACTTACCGAGTAAGACTCTTGGTCCTTGTCTCGTTCTTACCGGGTAAGATTCTTGGTCTTTACCATATTCATACGGTGATGTAATGTTACTTGGTAAGGCACTTACCCGGGTAAGCGCTTGGTAAACGGCCCCTTACTCACCTTTTACCTACAATTAATACACCAGATTTTGTCTGTTTCTTGTAATACATTCGACCATATTTGTAACGTAAAATAGTCGTTGTAGATTCAACGACTGGCTTCATGTTACAGTTACTAGAGTTTTGATTTTGATCTGTATAGTAATACCGTTGAAATAAAGTTAGATCATTATAGATCCTTGTATTACTTATACTCTTATATATATAACAAGATGATAGCACACTACAACAAAATCGGGTTTATCAGACATCAAATTTTTTAACAAACCACTTTATAAGACTTGATTTACCAGACAAAAAAAATAAAATGTCTTATCTGAAGGTGTTGTAATAAATTTATATGACGTTTTAATAGGTTTTTTATGACACTTATAATATAAATCGTTCCAGTAGCAATTTTTTAGGACATTATTTGAAAAAATGTCCTATAAAATTGTTAATATGATGGTTTTGTTTTAAAGTGTCCTAGAAAACTTGTAAAAACGCCAAAAACACTATCAACTTATTACAACTCCTTTAAGTAAGATGTTTTATATGTTGGTCTTATAAATTAAGTTATATAAAGTGGTTTATTATGATACTTAGAGGTTGTTTATTTACCTCTTAATAGTTCCATTAAGAGACAGTATCTGAATCGCTAAGAGGTGAATCTTGTTTAGCAAAAAAAAAACTTGTCTATTAATGATTCTAAAACCCTCTGAATGATTTTGTATCTTGGGTCCCTCTTAACCATTTAGCGCCTTAATTTCATTATGAACAATCATCAAACAATTATATTTCGTTTTGCATTACATAAAAAAAACCTCCTAATTAATTATTGTGGCCTCTTAATCATATGCATTAAATCATTTAGCAACTATCAAACATTCCCTTAGAAATTGATGGTATCCTATAAATCCAATTTTGTTATAATTATAATAATACAGAAGAAAATAATCTTAAACATAACACAAGTTACATTGATTTATTAAACATAACACTAAAACAAAGGCTAGAAAACCTTAGATTTTGGTAGCACATATTGATGATACAAGATTTTATTGTTGTTTATCCTATTTATTTATGTTCATGAATTCAAATCACCCAAGTTTACAAATACATATTACGCTCACAATAAATATATATATATATATATATATATATATATATATATATATATAATTCAATATTCCAAATTCCAAGATCTTGAAATAAATTTTACGTAAAAATAATACGTACAGACATACAAATTCAACGATCTGCTCAATCCATCTCGAGTATTCCTGATCCGTGTGCCACACAAAGATAGAAGGAGCGTGATGCTGAAGTCGGGTTCATTCACGGCTTTTAGCTTCGGTCTTGCATTTGTCCATTGCTATTGGTGCTGAAATTTTGATTTGAATGGGAAATCATTAGAGTTTTCTTGAGTTCAATGTACAAATAGAATCGATCTGATTATATATATATATATATATATATAGAGAGAGAGAGAGAGAGAGAGAGAGAATCAAATGAGAACATGACAAAATAAGAGAACACAAAAATGGTGGAATAACATGTGATTTTACACTAAAATCACGTATAAAATCACATGTGATTCACACGACTTTAGTTGCGACCTGACGTCGCATGTCAGGTTGCCCACTCACGCTTGTGTTGACCGTGTTCCGTAATCACATATAAAATCAATTGTGATTTACATGTAATTTGGTTATATTGTTGCTCTTATTCTGACTTTGTTCTCGTATGGATCTGACTATATATATATGAGCAGGTTCAAACGGAAAACTAAACATTTTACGAGAATGCAAGAAGTTTCAATATCATATGTGATTACAAGCATGATACACAAGCTTAATATATATGATTAAACACATGTTGCATTGACAACACGTAGACAGTTAATCTTAAATGATTGAACACACCCAAAAGAGTGTAATTATATATGATATTGAAACTTTTCACTTTCTCGTAAAATGTTTCACTTCTGGCATGATTCTTCCTTGATAAATGTATATTATTAACTAATGGAAATCTTTGTTGTGTAACTGACCGAGCCCGATAGCTTCCTTTCCTTTCGTTATACGTAAACGCTTGCATGAATCAACGAACATCCTAACAGAAAATAAAGCAAAATAAATGTAATTACTAAAATATTTGATGTTATAATTCGCTTATATCCTATTGAAAATGATAATTATAATGATTATTATAGCGATACTGATATTGATACTGATAGTGACAATAAAAACGAGTAATTACTCCCACGGAACATCACCGACGAGCATCCAGTCCCCATCTTTGTCCTCATAAGAATTGTTCAAAAGATCCATCACTTTGCTTTCATTCATGAAATCCTTCAACCCTTGTGATCCACAATTACCTAAAGTAAACGGTTTTATATTCATAAAAATCAAGAAGAAAAAGGTTAATTCATTAGTGAATAATTAAATAAATAAGCTATTCATTAGTGAATAACTAAATAAATAAAACTATTCATTAATGAATAAATGAATTACCAATAATGAATGAACTAAACATGTTCCCTAAGGCATCAGAGAGATCTTGATAACTTTTGTACATTTTCAGGTCAACTTTACGAAGGTAAGGAGCTCCATCCATGCTCACCTTCACAAACGCCGCCCCACCGCCGCCACCACCGCCACCGTTAGCATCCTCATGACGGCGGAGACAGCTTTTCTTTTGGACTGACATCATGTTTTTCCGGTAAGCTCTCACCGGTGGCCAACCTACCACTTGGGTCCTAAATAATTGAAGTTATTACATGTTTTTTGTTATGGTTTTTAGTAAGAAATCAAGTTAAAATTTTGAACTTACTTGGCGGGAGGGTCGCCGGAGCAACCACCATCAACTCCGTCACCGCCGGCAAACAGATTTTTTTCTGTATCATTCTTGTTTTCTTGATCATCTGATGATAATTTCAGCTTCAAATCCATGATGGTTTCATCGTATCCTCTCTTTCCGTTGACATGCACCACCGCATCTCCGCCTTCACTGGTCTTGTTTCCACCTCCGGCACCGCCGCCGCCGCCCGGCAACCCTAGCCTTAACTCCGTCTCGTCAAACGACGTCGTCATCTCTCTCTCTCTCTCTCTCTCTCTCTCTCTCTTTCTCCCTTGATTGTTCTATTGAGAAGAAAATGAAAGTGAAGATTTGATTCAGAAAATAAAATGGGTAATAGGATTCGTACTAAAATTATTATATTATAATAATATAAAACAAAAACAAAAACATTTTTTAATTTCAATATAAAATTTTTTATTGTTTTAAATAAATATATTGTTTTTTTACTAACTTAAAGGGTCGTTTATAAAACTCTTATCAAGTAAATGTTTATTAAATGTTACTTATCTTACTGGTAATTTTGTGTGATTAGATTTTTCTGGCTGCTTTCTAAGGAACTGAGATTAATCGAGGTGCGCATAAGTTGGTTTAGCCACATCAGCATGATAACCGTTTATCCGGGTACTTAAATGTTTAAAACTTTACATCTTAAGTACCAAAATAAAAGTTTTGAAAGTATGTTACCAAAAATATGAATCAAGTTAAAATACGTTGTTTTTTCATGCAATTTATCTAAATATATATTTTTTCAAAAAATATGTTTCCCAAAAAAACTTTTACTAAATACTAAATAAGCCTAAAATAATACAAAATAAAAATATATATTAATAGTTTGAACATGTATTTATTAGTTTCATAAATCATAGTAAAAAAAGTAGTAGTAATATAAAGAAAGGTCCATAACAAAATAAGGCAAAAATGGGATATGTTTGGTCCATTTTTGTTGTGTTTATAATAAAGACATCAACTCTAAAGTTATAATGATTAATAGATAATATCGGAAAAAGTTTTTAACTAAAAAACGACGATTCATATGTGAATTATTGAAAAAATCTCAGTAAAAATACATATGTCAACTTATATAAATAGTTTGTTGAAGTACTTTTTAAAGTATCTCATGGCCCAATTATTATTACAGCGTTCTCTACCATAGAATTCGCCCTTCGGGGTCAACCCGACGGGTTTTATCAAGAAGGCAGCACAAAGGAGGCTCGAGGGCTTGTTAAGGAAGGCGGCAAGGGCCGACGAGGGGGGGGGGGGAACGACAGACCTTTTCTGGTCCCCCTGAGTTGGGGATTGCTTGTGGTAGGGGTGTGCCATGACGAAACAAGGGAATGAAAGATCGCTTTGCGTTGGATAGTTTATTAACTTTTATGTGTAACAGCTTGCTCGAAAATGGGCAAGAAAGCGAGGTCTTCAGTCAAGTAGTTCAGGCTAAAACTAGCTGATATAATATACATCTGGTTTATTTACTGTAAAGGGTATTTTAAATACGTTTTTAAATAAAGTTTGATGCATTACAACATCTTTGTCGCTATGTTATTTTAAAAAAATTGGGAATTTGAAAAAAAAAATGCTCCAACTAGGGGGACTTATATGTAATCTAGATAAAAGGGGTTTTTATTTATTAACTTGGATATCCAACTCGCTATGCTAGCCAACTAATCTCAAGGTAACTGTCTGCTTTGCAGATAGCTCGGAGTCATCGCATTTGAACCTCCGTGGCTACCAGAGAGTTTTTATTTCTCCTTGGATTTGAATCTGGGACCTTATGGTACTTTTGGCATTTGGAGTCAAGCTGAAACCAATCTGACACCACCCTTGTGGTTAGGGTTTTTTTTTACTTTTACATCCTTAGTCCCTTCAGTCATTTGTGACGGATTCGTTAAGTGGCGCGGTTCGTTTTGACAAAAAAACTCCCTTGCTTGACAGTCATTCCCCCTGTACATTGATTGCTTTGTTACCTGTAGTTCTTGCAATCATGTTACAATGATAACAATGGTTGGTGGTTTTATTAAGTATATTTCAATTTCTTTTTTTTTTTAGTTTAAAGATAAAGCACTTCACCTAAATGTGAATTTTATATATGTTCAAATCAATTCATATAGAAGAAAATTATATAAATAAAATAATTGTATAATTGCTATTTGGTTCGCTAAGATCGAATCCAAAACTTACCTTTATTGGTTAACCGAATAACCCAAAAACTGTTGTGATTCGGATACAGATTTTCTTATAGACCCTTAGGGACCCCAGTCACCTGAGCTTATGGATTTGTCACTGACTCTAACAGTTATGTTAAACTCTCCTATAAAATAAAGAGAAAAAGAAGATAGAATGGATAAATCTTTAAATATATATATATATATATATATATATATATATATATAGGGATGTTATTCTACACCCTTTGCCATTCCTACATCCTATACAACCCTCATCTCAACCATTCAAGTTTTAATCAATTAATTGTTTCCTAATATAAAGTATTAATCATAATTAATAAACTCTATTCATATTCCATAAATATTCAAATCATAATAAATGAACTCCAATCATTTCTATAAATATCTCAATTAATTGGGTTGCAAAGGTTGTACAAATGCACAAGGTTGTAAATATATATATATATATATGTATATATAATATGAGGTTTAAATCATTTGAGGACCAAAAAAAGGTTGACAACCGGGATGACCATTTTTAATCATTAATTGAATTTAATCTATGACTATGAAAAACAGATGACATTTCTGTGAACTTTTTGAAATTTGAAATTAATTATTAAATAAATGATAAGTTGAAAGGGGAATTCTCGGCATTTAACATCCAATCCATAGTCAAATATATTTTACAAAAATGTAAGTTTTTTTTATACGTTACCAGTAAATAACATATATTTGAGAAGGTAAACGATTGAAAATTAAACTAATAATGCAATAAACTAATAAAATACAAAAGATATTTATAATTAGTGAAAACTGAAATATCTTATTATTGCATATAAATTATATCGCATAAAATTGAATTAAAATAAAATAATAGGGATTGATCTGGTGTATCCAGGTGTATCTCATCCAAATATGCATCCAAGAGTGGAGATTCCTTCTTACGTTTTTCACCGGAACCCAACCCTAATTAAGGTTATTAGTTTAGAGTGGTTACATGGTTGAGATTGGTTGTCAAGGTTCTTAACTTTTTTGTGATTCTCATTTGATTACCGTCCATATTATATATAACATAATTGTTGCATGGCGAAAGATCGTATGAGAATGAAAGTTAAGATGAGAAGCATAAGAAGGATTCTGCACCCTTAATCACCTTTAATCTCAAATTCATCCATGAATCACGTTTGATACAGGGATGCATCTCATCCTAATATACATCTAAGAATGAAAATCTCTTCTTACGTTTTTCACTTTAATTCTCCATTTCGCTAGAATTCAACCCAAATAAACAAAAAGGTGGGACCTAGTGAGCATGTGGTGAGATCAAAGGGGTGAGGATGTCCCACGAAGTGGGCATGTGAATCTGTTAAAGGAGGTGTCACCTAGGGCTCAAACCCCTTTCCATGTGCGCCGCTATAGGGTATCCCACCTCCCCCCTGTTTTAAATCTCTCTACTTGTTAGATGTGTACTTTTTCTGAGGTGGTGTACAGGATTTTTATCTGAGTGGGAGTGTTTTTCAGATAGATTAAAGGTCTGTAAAGTTATTTAATATTTTTTTAGACATATTCCATCATTTTGAAGGGGGTTTTGGTTTTTGTGTTGATTGCGATATATTTTTCGGTTTTTTGATTGATTTTGAAAGAGTTTTTGTGTTTTTTGGTTGATTTTGGGGGAAAAACGGGTTTTTTGGTTATTGTTTCATGTATTTTTCTAATATCTTGAATTACTCATTAAAGTTTAGCGAGTACATCTTTCATAACCTAAAAAAGATTCTACTTGTGAAAATCGGTTGAGGGATGCATGGGATCCTGCTGGGGCTTTCATAGGTCCGATAGTTTCGATTTCAATGTAGGCTTCAAGTTGAAACTTCACATGTGATTTTACCAACAATCATTACAAGAGTGTGCAGATGACATGGCTTGCGACCTTAGGTCATGACAAAGTTGCATGAACTACATGTGATTATGCATGCATGTTTAGTGTAAAATCACATGTGATTCGATTGTTTTCTTATTCTCTTATTTGAATATTGTTATCGTATGAACTTGACCATATATATAGGGACAAATTGAAACGAGAAGCTAAACATTTACGAAAATGCGATAAGTTTGAGTATCATGTATGATTACACGCATGATACACGAGTTTAATCGTATATATTTAAATACATGTTGCATTGACAACACATAGACGCTTAATCATATATGATTAAACATATCAAAGAAGTGTAATCATATATGATATTGAAACTTCTTGTCTTCTTGCAAAATGTTTAATTTCTCGCGTGATCTTTCATCTCTCTCTCTCTCTCTCTCTCTCTATATATATATATATATATATGTGTGTGTGTGTGTGTGTGTGTGTGTTGTAATGCATCGTGATACACCTCTATTTTGTCTCCCTCGATTTTATTTTTTGAATTTGTGTGGTTTTGAGAGAGCTTTCTGTTGGTTATTAGTTTTATGGAATATTTTGTTGTATTAGTATGGCTCAACGTTTATCTTGTATTTAAACATATTTATCAGTTGGTAACGAGTTTGTTTTATAAAGTTCGAATGTACTAAAAAATAATATGTATGTAATAATAAGTTGTAAATATCGTATAATATAATTAAAATATCGTATGACCGAAATTTTGAAGTTGAAAAAGTATATATCAATATGGTATTAAATTAAAGATAATCAAATATTTATTGATTCTTTGATTAAAAATTAATTATATTTATGATAATTTAGATTTTTTTTTAATTAAGATAAATATGTAGGGTTCTGAACCATGATCCATTCACATGAGTTCTCAAAAACCGTTCAATCTTCCATTCTTAAAATTCATTAATTAAACGCTTATTTAATAAGCGTTTATCAGATTATTTATCTTACTGAATATGGAAAAGACCGAGAATCTTACCTGGTAAAAATGATGATAAAGATTAAGAGTTATACCCTCTAAGTGAAGGTAAATTGTTGCATATGATATCATTTTGATGGACTATAATTTTTCTTGGTAAAAAGTTAAAATATTGACTCTTACTGGTAAGTGCTTATCAGATAAGCGAGATCATAT